CTGGAGGAGCACCGTACAGGAACGCAGCCTTGCGCGTGGGGCACGGGGGGCGCACGCAGGCACCGCCACCCGAGCCAGCGCCAGGTCCAGGTGGAGAAAGTGGGACGGGAAAGAGGAGGGAGCACAAGAGCGGTGTTTTCTATCCCCAAAGCCCCCTCCCGCCCTGCCAGGTTCTCTCTCCGCTCCGAAGGCCCGTGATTATGCCTGGCACCACAAAGGAAGACGTTAGATAGTTGGGGTTCGGTGCACCTCTAGGCTGAGTGCTATGGAGAACACAGGCTCTGTTGATTCAGGGGCAGGAGCAGGCCGAGGGGTGGAGGTAGCCTGCGGGGTTCAGTTACACCTTCCTCCCGGAGGAAAATCAAAGGCAAAGACCCTTTTCTTCTCCGTGGTGCCGCTCAGACTAAGCACAGAGCAGACCCTCACTGAGTGAGCAGCCCCACGCACTCCCATGGATGCAACACTTGAGTACGCATCCAGTCAAGCCACCTGCCGGCTGCGAGCTTGGGGGGGGGGTGTAAGAAGACCCTGCCCTCCCCAGGTCACGGGCAGAATTAATTAAGGCTTCCTACAGGCTTCCAGCTGATGACATGTTCAAGACCGGGTTATTAAAATGATGATATTTACACTGTGCCGTGTGAAGCTCCAAATTATGACACACCTACATTCTCACACACACAATTGTGGCTGTAGACACACAAAATGCCCAAGCACACGGCAACCCAATCCCGGAAGCCCATGTCCCAGGAAGACTCACTTCCATAATAACTGCATCTTCCTTCAAGCCGGAGGGACTTAGTCACACACTGTTCACACTGGTGGGAGCCCTACAGACCAGGTCCTTTTGCAGGCCATCAGAATGTGCCCAGAGAGGGGCAAGGGGTTTACCCAGAACCACACAGCACACTACATAGGTCATTCTCCTAATGGTGTGTGGGAAGCTGGGCCTCAGAGACAGTTTCCAAGAGCAGGAGAGAGGAAGAAGCAGATCCCGAGAGATGATGCCTGTGGCAGTCAACTGGGGCCTGCCCTCAGTGCCACCTTTGCTGGGGCAGGAGGTCACCAAACATGTGGCAGGCTTGATTTGGCCTGATGGTTTCTTCTTGTTTTTGTTTTGTTGATTCCCAGTTGGCAGATTTCATATTATAGATCCAAATTCCTGACTTGTCTTGAAGCCTTGGGAGATCTAGCACCCTGGGCACGAATTTTTACCTGGCCACATGCCACACTAGCTTGGGCAGCAGCCCAAGGGCCTCATTCTGTGTCCCCACATTAGCCCAGGCAGTGGGACCCTGGTACGAGTGTGCCCTCTGGTCCTCACCACTGTGGCCTTCCAACCTGGGTCCTGCCTCCCAAACTTGGCCCCTCCTGGTCTACAGCACCAACTAAGCACCCTGGTAGCAATTTCATTGAATCCTCTGCAAGGACAATAAATTGAACTGTGCCCCCCCCCTTTTACAGAAGGGGAATCTGAGGCTCTCTAGCATAGATCAACCTCACTGAGACTCAAACCTGGAACTTGCTAAAAACCTCTCCTCCAGTCCTCACCCAGACTGCCTTCAGAGAAACGTCAGCAACCCACTGTCCCAGCTTCCCTTCCCCATTCCAGGACTTGTGGGCCTGCCTCCCACCCACCCACCACTCCCACCAGCCCTGAGGGAGATGATCAATTCCTAGGCCAACTGGTCAGAAGAGCCTCTGGTCCCCAGATAAGAAGCCCAGAGCTCCTGGGCCCTTCCAGTCTCTCTCCCTTGGGCCCCACCCACTCTCTCCTTCGGATGGAGGGAGGATCGCCACACCCTGTGCCCAACGAGCTGCATTTTGGGTCTAAGTCCCATTTCTTCCTACTCCCCCAGGAGTCCAAGCGTGAGTCCTTCTACAGAGCTCTGCAGCTAAGCTCTAAGGGGAAACAGACGGGATGCAAATTAGCTAAGGAGCTGAGGCTGTTCCAGAGCAAAGAAATCTTAACCTCCTTCCAGCCAAACTTCCTCTCCAAGACATCCCTCAGCGACTCCCAACTTTAAAGCCCCAGGGCGGGGCCGCTCAAGCTCCCAAGCCACCCTCCCCACCACCCAGGGGATGAATGGAAACTGTGGAATCCCAGGCCACCAGGGCTGTGCGGGCTTCCAGGGGCTCTGCACCTCCCTCCCAGCAGCCCTTCCTAGCTGATGTTTGTACCCGATTCCCAATTTCAGACCCCTCAGAACCCAGGGCACTGCAGAGCACTGGGCTGGAGGCCTCAAGGACAGCACAGGCAGATGAGTTAACAGATGAAACCCTGGGACAGGGAGAAAGGTTTTACTAAAAATGTGAAGGATGGTCCTGAAAACGGCCCTCCAAAATTGGTCCTCAGTCTCCCAGCTCTCCTCGCTCAGCTTCTAAAAGGCTCCTTGCTCCTGCCATGCTGCCTCATAGAAGTAGCCGGGCAGGCCCCAGCCAAAGGGCCTTAGCCCTGGCCCTTCCGGGGGATGGGGGGGGGCGGCTCAGTCACCTTCACAGGGAGGCCTGCTCTCTCCCCGCCCAGCTCTCCTGGTCTGCCCCACGTTTCCCCTGGCACTCATTACTATCTGGCATACTCTATATGGTACTTTTTATTTATCTTTCCTTATTTTCTGTCTGAATCCCCCACTCAGAAAACTAAGTCGCATGAAGGCAGGGACTTAATGCTATTTTGGGCACCACTGTGTCGCCAATATCTGGAATAGTGTCTGGCACCTAGGAGGCGTTTAACAAACAGCAAATGAATGGACTGTGAAGAGGCAGCCTCCCTCCCTCTGACCACACGTGAAGAGCCAGCCCCCGGCTGGGCCACCCCTCTGAGAGACCGACATCGTCATCATCATCATCATCGTTGTCATCACCTGCGTTGACTCATGCAGTGCTGATATCCTCCCTGGGAGGAGGCCGCAGCCTGCCAGAGCCACTTCACCCAGGGTAGCGGAGGATGTCCCTGGTGCCTTCCATCAGGCTCCTGCCTGGACCCTCTAGGAGAGGGGTGGTCCAGCGAGCCAGCTGACGCTGCCACTTTTTAACCATGTGACACCAGCTAAATTCCTTAAACCC